GAGCTCACTTTTGGTTGAAGTGATACATCCTCAAAAATTACCGTGTGCTCACGGACAGAGAGAATAATTCATCAATATTTCTTCAAAAAATTAAGTCGATCATAATGTTACTACCAATGAGGAATGTCATGGAACCACGATTAAAGACTTCTTCGTGAATCAAGTGGAAAATATTGATGTGGCTCCAACAAGCTTACTGGCACCAAATGTCATACAGCAAACGAAGCAATCAATTTACTGAAGCATACACTTGGTGAGTGCATAATTATCATTATGACATCGTGGGYCTGTGATATGGTCTCCAAGATTGTGCTATTAACACCGCTGAAAAATTTTTGTGCATGCACATCTGTGCTAAATGTCACATCAAAAYAATCATTAGTGTTTAGTATACGCTTGTATTTTAGGTATTTTAATATAAGTTTTCGATTCAGTGCTTCGCTGGAGCCGCATTATCCGAAAGGTAGCCACAATCATATTGCATCGTTGTGAAAAGCCCATAAGTTTTCTGCCCCAAAATCCGTYCTTTTAAGACGAACTTCACTGTTTCAATAAAATGCCTAAAACAGACCAAGTGGTATTCCTTATTGACCGTTTGACCACGTGGAATATATTCACGGTGAGTCATAACACAGTAAACGGAGAAAACGATAAATATAAACGTGATTTTTGATATAAATATTTTTGTGTGATTTTTTTGCTTTCAGCCAATTTTTGAAGCGCCGTTCGCTAGATTGCTGAACAGTTTCGATATCATATTCATAAAGATTCCTCACCAGTAATTATGCAACTGATGAATGGGGGATTCGCAGCTTCTTTGTGAAGAATATCTTTTGCGACCTCTACTCGAAACATGGTTATCAAAGTCGGTGGTCGCGATTTCTCAGAAACTAGTTTAGCGATCAGGTTTTGAAAATTTTCACAGTTCTTCTCGTGATTGGGCGAAGGAAACGAATTTTTTCAATGCAATTTGTGGTAAAAATTAAACCTAAAATCATACTGTTCTGTTTTATAACTTTGTTAAGAACTTATTTTGTTCCGAGTTCATCCATTAATCACGGTCTATACTCCTCTATTAGTCGATGRWATTTGATTTTTTGRTTTTAGATRAATGCTTCGTCTGTTATGCTGACCACCGTAGGAGAAGTTTTTGTGCGATTACTTCGGTAACCCGCTACCAATGGCAGAATTTCGGAATTTTTTTACAAAATATTATTCAAATGTTACTCTTTGATATGTAATAAAAAAATGAATTTATTATATGAAGAAAAAATTATGAAAATGTGCCTTTTGTGGCCATCAAAACCCAMGGAACTCCCTAATGGAAAATGTGCAATCGTCCAAAACGGCCAACTTTGATCAATAGGAGAATTACAGTATTCCATCAGAACAACGAAAGACCTCAAACGTGCCAGAAACCAAATAATTGGTTACATTGCCTTTCGCAACAATAACTGTCTCTCATCTGCTTGGAATTCATTCAACTAAATTGTGTACAAAATCAACTGGAAGCACAACTTGCTTTGTTTCATTTAAAAGTTTCGTAGGTAACCATCCTTTATGACATGAAGCGCTGTCGTCTTGTAAAATCCAGTAGACCATTGGAAAAGGCCGATTGTATCCTCGATCTGATTTAAAGAACACTCAATTGGTATCAAATATCCAAAGCGATCAACATGTGGGCCAATCAAAATCCGTGATCACCGGAAATTCCATCGAAACTGTGCGTGATTCATCAAAAATCAGACGAAATCATCATTGAAATTCATGGAAATGGAATTGAGCATCTCCAAAACATCGATTTATCGCATTTTGACCGAACATTTGGGCTTACGAAAGGTGTGTGCTTGTTCCGCACAAATTAACTGACGACCGAAAATTGCTCAGAATCCGACATTCGAAAGACATCATTATGACCGATTATTTGACCAAAAATCATATTTTAACCATTAACCACTCCCCGTATTCACCTGATAGCGCACCGTGCGACTTCTTCCTTTTCATAAGAAAGAATTTGCCCATGAACTGGCGGCCATACCAGCCAACGAGCTTAAGCACTCGTCCGACATGCTTTTGGATTTATTGAAGCAGAAGGAGACTATTTTGAATCAAATAAATAAAACTATTGGTTCTGTTTTTCCGGTTTATATTGGATATTTTTTATTTATAAATATATAAATTTTTTATTTTTTTTGGAATTTTGGGCAGATGCTTTCGTTTTTTATGAGAGGTTGCAGTAAAAATTAATTCAAAAAGAATGGGATCGCCGCATTATCAATAAAAATTTTTAAAACTAAATCTCTTTGAATAATAAATTTTATGTTATACCTCCATTACATGAATCACTCGCATTAATTTTAAAGGTAATGGACCATAGGCACATTTCTACCTGAACTTACGTCTACTGACCTAACTAGTGAACCGCCGCCCTTCTTTTACCTGCTACGAAAGGTATAAATTCGGTGCAACTGGCAACTTAAGCTTAGTTACAGTTTAGAACTTAAACGTTCAAGTAGCTACTGGAGGAGTTTTAGCCGCTAAGTAATAATTTCACGAAGTCTATAAAGTAAAGAATAATAATATAACTAACGACAATGTTGCGAATGAGAATACAAAGTAATATCTCTACGAACCCGGAACATCAACGGCCAAACCGAAGCTCCTTCAATATACACGGATCAAATGCGGGAAAAAGAGGATCGTAGGAAAGAAAAGAAGAAAGCATTAGCAGCGACGCCTATAAAAGTAAGGCGGGAAGTCAGAAATCTAGTGAATGGCATTCGAAAGGAGAGCGAGCGGACACTCAGGCTTTAACATAGATTTATATTTATATTATAAGTTATTTCTAATGTCAGCTAACAAAGTAAATTTAAAATGTTTAATTATTAAGATTTATGCATTATATCTTTTTAAACAAATAAAAAGATATTCAGAAAATATCACATTCATATTTTCTATACATATTCTCATATGTATAGAATATGAGGTTTAGACCAACTGGATTCATATTCTAATAATTTTAATACCGGGTTTTCTAATGGGAATAGCATTGCTCAGTGTCATTTCAAATATTTTTAATCGTGCTGCTGAAACTGAATTTGTTGATTCCAGGAAGTTTCAAAGAATTGCGACMGTCTCAAGCCACAATCTGGCGGATTTCGAAAAAGGATTTGATCTTGAATTCATATAAAATTGTTCTCACTCTAACACTGAAGCCATTGAACCACCCTAATGTCCTTAAACGATTTGAAAGCGTTAACATTTTTTAAGAAAATCATCTCCTCTGATGAAGCTCACATTCACTGGTGCGATAAATAAACAAAACTGTCGACTTTGGAGCCTGTCTCTTATACACATCTAGATGTGTATAAGAGACAGGTTAGACTGTATCCAGTGGGGCTAGTGTGGTGGTCAGAACTATGTTCTATGCCAACAAGCCAGCGACAATTGATGAACTTCGTACGAATATCGAAGGTAAAGTTGAAGCAGTATTTATGCTTGACAACCGCCAAAAATTGGGTTCAGCATCTGGACTTCTGCAAGCATGCTCGTGGGACAACTGTAAAAGAAATCTAGTTCCATACAGAATGGCATCGAATGTATTTTCACAGGAATAAAAAATTTCAYTGATATCCCAAACTTTTTTGTAGTGCTCTTATTGGAAAATCCGTTACAAAATTTACTGACTTAAAAAATAAAATTTATTATTTTTCTAATATTATACTTTACTAGGTTTTTATTATTATTATTTTTTTTTTTCGTTAGCACACACAAAAAAATCGTATTTTACCTTTTAATACACTAAATTATATCATGTCTGTTCACGTCCAGTCAAGAACAGCACTGCTATTATTATTATTACTTTGTTTTGTTGTTGTTGTTTTTAGTTGTCGCCGAACTGCACAAAATAACTTTGATTGCTTTTACACAGAAACTTTCGCTCTCTTTAAGAAATCTTGAGCCCAGGTGATAYACCAACCTGTCAAGAACACAGAGACACACTCAAAAAAAAAATACATAAATCAGTATGAATAAACATACATATGTTTACACACATGTGCATATGTAATTAAGCACTACATTTTTTTTTTTTTTGTTTTTGGGAAAATTGGATTGCAGATCTGCTGATTCACCTGTCAATCACTGAAGAAAACGCCACAAAAACTTTCGAAACTTTCACGCATGGAACTCGCAAGAACAAACAGATAAAGACAGACGCGAAACCGCACAACCAGAGCCAATCACTTGCAAATCACCAGCAAATCACTTTGAAAATTGCATGCCGTTAGAGCACTTGAAGCGCTTGGAGTGACATACAGAATCTATGGCGCTGCAAAAACGCACGAAATTCACGACGGTAAGTACAACAACAAAAAATAATTATATAAAAATTGCAACAAATTACGCTACAACAATACACATTGCACTTGAGCGCTGAAAATTTGCTTGAATGACTGCGTGAAAAAAAATACAACGAAAAACACTAAAACACCGAAATAACCGTACACTTTGTATAAAAGTTGTTGTTATTGTACCACAAACTCCACTCCAACTTGTTAAACACGCGTCTTACGCACCGCAAATAACAAAAGCGCATTCAACCAACCATTCGAAGAGGCCGAAATAGTAACGGCAAAGCCATTTTGTAGCTGAGCAAACCAAACAGCCGAACCGTACGATAACAACTGAAGTAGGACTCAGCTCGTGGCGATGCAATTACCCGCCAAACAGCAACGCTACACACATGCACACACACACATGTGTACACGGCGCCACTACCTGCCCAAACAGCCGCCCACGCCAACCAATTGACAAGCCGAAAACAACAAACCGTGCCTAGTGTGCCTTCTCAGCGCACAACAACAACAGCAAACACAAAAACGTTGGAGATGCGACCCACTAAAGGCAGCCCAGCGCATATTTGTGCAGGCAATGTTAATAACAGCAGTCACTCTGTAAGCTTACATAGCATAAAGATTGTGGGAAAAGTTACGTTTTTGTTTTGTTTTTTTTTTTTCAACGTCAACAAAGTGGAGAAAGCAATATTGCTCAATACTTCGCAAACTTTGTTGTTTAATTTAATTTCCGTGGCAGTTAACGAGAAGCTACAAGCCATTGCCAAGCTTTTGAAAGTTATTTCCGTTATTTAATGTACAGCTTTTGCGAAAGCTTTGCTATTTGTAAATGTGTATGAATGGAAAGCGAGTGATTAATTTTTGGCGAAACCGAGCTCAGTATGCTGCATACAGCATTTTGCTCATATAACACTTTTTTTTTGTTTTTTTTTTTTTTTTTGTTTTTGAAAAAATATATTAAAAATATATTTTGCTACCATACCGATTTCGCATTTGTTCGTCTCAAATCAGTTTATGCTACAAGAAAAAACAAGAACTATGTGAGGCTAAACTTAATGAAACACTTAAAATTTGTCAAACTGTGTTCTTCATTTGCCCATCGCACAACCCTGTAGAGGGGATGTTTCGCCTTCTCACTTTACAATACAGGTATGACAATGATTTTTCCAATCCTCAAAACACTTTTCATGGATACTTTTTGGGATGGGCTTCAGCTCCTTCAGCGAATTTTGTTTTATCTCTTGCAGTGCCTGAAAATGGGTTCCAAGCAGCGGCAATTTCAGTTTGGGGAACCATCAAAAGTCRCAYGGAGCCAAATCTGGTGAGTACGGTGGTTGGTCGATGGAATTCATTGCTCGATGCGATGGTGCGTTATCACCGTGTAAAATWCATGAATTGTTCTTCATCGGCARTTATAAATAYTTCCAYGAACGTGGGATCGGAATTCGCCGATTAAGCGTGTACAAAGAAACTTGTTTGGGTTATTATTTTTGAAGAAATGTCAGCTTTATCGGGACGACTCTAGCAAAAACGCGTTTCATACACAAAATATCAWCCAAAATCATTCGAATATTCATCTATAATACTTGGCTGACGATTTTCAAGCAYCRYATRCTTCACTCTTTTAATAATTTCATCAGTTGAAGTGGTCAAAGGTCGTCCAGAACGAGGAATATCTTCAACGATTTCTCGACCCTCTTTGAAGGCTTCCTAACACTCGTATCCTTGTGTTTTTGATAAAACTGAATCACCGTAAGCCTTTTCCAACATTCGCAACGACTCCGCACACGAAATTCGGTTCTTCCTCTTCTTCAAATTCAACTATGCCCATCCYTACTTTTGACGAACTCAGATCGTTTATTTCTTTTTCGATGGGTTTCAACTTGATACGATTTATTTTACTGCTTTCATTTTCAGAGGGTGCCTGCAGAGTGGACGCTTAAAGAAAAGTGTAAATAACCGTTAGCGGCCAGATCTGGGAAATATAGTAAATGTGGAAGTAATTAGGAACCCAATCGTTTTCACTGACTTGTGACACGCTGTATTGTCTTGGTGAAACTTTATTTTTCTTCGAGTGCGTCCGTTTTTCGAAGGCCAAATCATGTGCAAATATTCGTTCAGTTGATATCTTTAGGGTGCCTGTGTCTCGAATAACTGCACTTTACGGTCTTCTTCTTCTTGATTGGCGTAGACACCGCTTACGCGATTATAGCCGAGTTAACAACAGCGCGCCAGTCGTTTCTTCTTTTCGCTACTTGGCGCCAATTAGATATTCCAAGTGAAGCCAGGTCCTTCTCCACTTGGTCCTTCCAACGGAGTGGAGGTCTTCCTCTTCCTCTGCTTCCCCCGGCGGGTACTGCGTCGAATACTTTCAGAGCTGGAGCGTTTTCGTCCATCCGGACAACATGACCTAGCCAGCGTAGCCGCTGTCTTTTAATTCGCTGAACTATGCCAATGTCGTCGTATATCTCGTACAGCTCATSGTTCCATCGAATGCGATATTCGCCGTGGCCAACGCGSAAAGGACCATAMATCTTTCGCAGAACTTTTCTCTCGAAAACTCTCAACGTCGACTCATCAGTTGTTGTCATCGTCCAAGCCTCTGCACCATATAGCAGGAGCACTTTACGGTCACCCGAAATTATTTTGTGGACTTTTTTGACATTTTCGTCGGCAACAATCTCTTTTGGACGTCCGTCCACTGTGTTCACCGTCTTCGGTGCTCATTTCACTACATCTAAACTTAGCATACCAATCCTTGATGCTTGATTTTCATTTGCAAAAATTGTTCTTGGGCTAAGACAACAACACTGTTGTAAATGAAAGTCCAGTGAAAGTCTCATCAAAATTGATCCAGCCATTTTAAAGATATACCGGAACAAACAGACCGGACAATAAGGTAATAAAAATTTTATTTGGTAAATACATGTATCGTGTATACATCGATATGCATTGAGTAAAAATATTTTAATATTATATACATAATATTATTATATTTTGCAATATTTTAATACTATAAAAAGACACACCAATTTTAAATATTATATTTTTTCATATGTAAATCGTAATGAAAATCACAAAAAATATCAAAATCTTACATGGTGTGGCATGCCATTCTTATCGATAATTACGAATATGGCGAGAAAAACAATACACAATTCATTGGCAGCACTGTGTCATTTCTGCTGCGACAGTCGACAGTCGAAGTAGAGTTTGTGTTTTTTCGGGAAAGGATAAATATAAATAGGAAGGGAAGGATTAAAAATTATCACAAAAATTAAACTTGTGATAAAAAGATTTCAAGTGGAACGCAATAGCCAGCGTGTGTTGCTGAAAAGTGAAGAAGTGCTTTTATTATTAATGCACTAAGGTGAATAAAGTGTTGAAATGTAGCAGATAAAGCAATTTGTGACAGCGCAATGCGTAGGATCACAATTGCAGCGTTTTTAATACATAATATTTATTTAGAGTGAGGTCATAAATGCGAAAGTGCACGGAATTCGGTATGCAAGTGGGAATTTCTTCCAGTTACCCAACGAAAAAGATGATAATATATACAGCTAGTCGAGCAACTCCATTGTTCATCAATTTTACTTTATACCTTTAATGCATGAATTTCGCTTTTATGCATACATACATATATATGTTTAGATTGTTGTTGTTAAATTGAAACGAATGTGCGATCAAAGCGCAGAATACAAGAAAAACACCAGAAGTTGTAGAAGAAGAAGACTTTGACAAGGAAGCAAAACGAAATGCATAAATGTCGCAAATAGATACAGAACAGAACAGTCGAAAAGAAATTTATGAAGAGCAAGAGGAGTTGTGTATTTGTGTGTGTGTCATGCCTCTTTCGTGTAATTGTCACTTTATCAAGAGGGCAAAACAAAGAAAAATCAGTGAAACGTAGTAAAAAAGTGAAAAACTTCGTACATTAATTGAAATAATTTTTAACTAAACAAATCGTAAGCATCTCTGTGACAAAATGTGCAATATATAGAATGAATTTGTCGAAAATCTAGTTTAAGCGCTGACGTGCGTAAAGGTGATATATTGATTTTATACAAATCATTGTTGCTTTCACTTGCCACTTCACAGCTGTTGTTTAACAAAAACGAAAAGTAAAATGCATAAATACAGCGCAATAGATAGGAAAAGTAGTATCATAATCAGCATCTGGTGTCTGCAGGATTACTTGATACTACGGCGTTATTTTCGTTGACTACCAATTGTATAGCTGTTGCTCTTAATGGATGCAACGTAATTGCAGTTTTTAGAATTGCATATATTTCAATTATTTGACGTTGATAGACAATCCATGTCTGGCCCTACGCGTTGATTAAGTTGAAATCATAGAATTATTAAAAAAAAAAAAATATGTTACAAGCTTCTTTCCATGCCAGGGTCAGCATAGATTTAGGGCAGTGCAACCTTGACCGCTTTTACTGCAATGTGCTATATTGCATTTTCTACGAAATAATTATGTTAAATGCGTCACTGGAATTAATTTTATAGCTACGATTTGATCGAAGCGACTTCCAATTGAGTTTCTAAAAATTATTTAACAAACAAATAAAGTTATTTTTTTAATCGGAAATATTTGTTATGTATTGTGTATATTTTTAAGTACGCATTAGCACTGATGTTGCGACGATGATGTTGATGATGGTAACCAATAACGACAAACCCAAGTCTATTCCCTCAAAATTTTGTTGTCTATAAATATTTAATGCGCACACTTGAGTGGTAGCTTTTTTAAAAAAAAAGTGTGTACCATATTTTCAGTTGACTAATTTCAACATTTTTAAGCCATAAAAAATGGATACTGATAACGATAATGAACAACTGAACTCTTCGTCGACGAGCAGCAGTAACAATAGCAGCAGCAGCAATTTGCTCGCAAATTTACCTATGCTCCCAATATTGCAGTCAACTGATAATGATGGTGGCGGGCATTTCGCAGAGCCCGAGGCACTACCGGAGCCCTTGGACGAACGCATCGGTGCAGTTGRATTGCCACAACCGCCATCACCATCACCACCGCCACCACCAACACCACCACAGCAACAACTTCATACGGCAGGTCATTTGCCGGACAATTCAGTTTTCGCTTCACCCCTCTTATTCAATAACAATACCACCCCACCTCCTTCATCCTCCTCATCATCATCGTCGCCAACATCATCGTCACACAATCTTCAGCTATATCATCATCAGCAAGAACCACAACAATTACAACAAGAACAACTACACTCTGAACATGCGCTTCATTTTGAACATTCTCCCTCTCCCTCCCTCCAGCAACACGCACTACTACCACCACCGCCATCACCACCACCACCACTCGAACAAGAGCAGCAGCAGCATCAACAACAACAACAACCGCCGATTCCGGAAGCAGCAGCCATAGTACAGCACCAGCAAGCCCTTGAGCTAGAGGACATTCAAGAAGAACTCCAATTAACGCATCCATGTGCTTTTGTAGACAATAGTCCGATTGCCGATACGATTGATGCATCCGCATTAGAATCAGCTGCGAGTGAAGCTATTGGACTGAACGCTGACATTGCAACAACTAGTCAACAGCAGCAGCAGACACAGCCACAACGCCCGTGTCTACAGCAGGAAGAACAACCAGTGGTTAGTTTGAGTGGTGCTCAACGCTCGACACTGAGCGTAATAGGAGAAGGTGCAGCTGGTAGCAGCGCATCTAACATACGTAACCAAACACCTCCAATATCACTGCCATTGCTGTTGCAAGAAGAGGACGACGAAGACGAGGACGCCGACGCCGACGACGAAGAAAATCTTAGTGGCGAACAACAACGCGTTCGAGCACCAAAGTCACCTGCTGCACTAACGTACGCTACGCATTTTACACACCATCCATTCACGCACCCACTAAACCACCACCACCATCATCATTATTATCCCAATTTTGGTGGCTGTATAAATAATTCACCATTTGCGTTTGACATACCTGCTTTGTCCGGTGGGGGCGACAGCATCAGCATCAGCAGCAATAATAACAATAATAGCGGCATTAGCTTTATCAGCCAAATAAATCCCAGTAACGGCGCGAATACAAACGCAATACTAACAGCAAGCATGCTTGGGAGCAGCAGCAATAGCGACAACCCGTCCGGCGGCGGCGGCGGCRGTGCCACTGCCCTATCAAGCAACATCACTTGCGCTGGCGTTGGTGCCCACAGCAGTAGCAATCATAATCATCATTCGCGTCAGCAAGTGACCGATCGCCTAAAAATGCTCTATCCAAATGTGAACGAAGCTGAAACTCCACTGCCACGCTGCTGGAGTCCACACGACAAATGTCTATCTATTGGACTATCGCAGAATAACCTACATGTACACTATAAAGGTGAGTGAAACTTTAATAAATGCACTACTTTTAGTTATTCCCATTAGACACAAACGATCGAAGAAGAAATACTAGACTAACACGCACCATATAAAAATTAAAACTAAAATCAACCCGACAGTTTTTAAGCGCGAAATATGCGCGTCCTTTAAAGGAAACGAAATAGAAATTAAGGTACAAGCGGAAACGCAAAAATCGCTTCCATAGTGTTAAAGCTGTGCAAATGTGTGGGTGTACGGAGAAAATTGAAAATCAACGGCAAGAAAGTAATTGTTTTTTTTTTGTTTTCTTAAATAATACACTCACTTATTGCTAGTTTATTAAAATTTAAAAATAAATAAATTTAATGATTGTTATGCAGCTCATTGTTGTAACTCAACCCATTTCAAGAAGTTTTCGTTATATACGTAGGCATAATGTGCATATGCATGCATGCAATCTCTTCTCCTCACTTCATTTATTTCGGTTAATTGTCCATGTCCATCGCTCTTTATTGCGTTTCCCATGCACACGCTTTATTTGCCTTTGTCATCATCATACAGTGGAGTGCAATCTGTTCTGCCATTTTATGTACCAAATCGGGAGAAAAAAAAAAATAGAAAACGACTTTATACACAACAACGGAACAAACGGAAGGAAAGCAAACACGAAGTTGTCCAGCACGACTACAATTCGGTTGTTCTCGCTTCAACGCCCTCTGTCATTGGCCTGGTTATTTGTGTGTTTGTTTTTGTATATCATTTGGATTTTTTTTTTACGCACGCTTTTTATTGTCCGTACTCCTTTTGACATTTATAAACATATGTGCATGTGCTGTTGTTTGCTGTTGTTGTTCGTGAGATTGTCGTTTAGTTGGTGCAATCATAATACCATCAGCTGATATGTGGTTATCAAGCGCATTGTTGTTGTTTACATTTAAACTAGTTGCCCTTGCTTTCAAATTAATTTTACTTCTGATTATTGTAATTATGAGTGTATGTGCATATGAGGGTGCCTATGTCTATTTATACAACTATCGGTCTTGCGTAAGTTACAGTAACAATTATCGGTTTATTTTTATTTAACCAAAAATATTTAAACCGCAAACAGCACAGCGAAAACAACCGCTGAATGACTAAATTGTTTTAAATTACTTGTTATAATTAGAAACATAAAAATTACTTTGCAAGATAATTTAAAATAAGTTTATTTTTGATAGCGCCTACGCGCAGCCTTTTTCAGATGCTCATGTCCTTGATCTGGACACTTGTATTACGCCATATATTCATTTTACGCCATTTATTTGCAGGCGTAGGTAATAAGCACGACGGTCCTGCCTCTGTGCGCACAGCTCATCCGATTCCACCCGCCTGTGGCCTATACTATTTTGAAGTGAAAATCATATCGAAAGGTAAAGATGGTTACATGGGTATCGGTTTGACAGCTCAGCAATTTCGCATGAATCGTTTACCAGGTAAAGGCAGCGCGTTTTGTGTCCATCAACAAATGCAAATAATAGTATTTTCGGTTTCCATTCGCCATTTTCTCTTTCAGGTTGGGACAAGCATACGTATGGTTACCATGGTGACGATGGCAATTCATATGCGCAATCCAATACTGGTCAATCGTATGGACCGACATTCACAACTGGCGATGTAATCGGTTGCTGTGTGAATTTTGTGGATAATTCATGTTTTTACACAAAGAATGGCATTGATCTTGGTGTCGCGTTCAGAGATTTACCGGTACATAAAGTTAGTAGTATATACAAGTGTGCTATGGTGACTATGCGCTACATGTATGTACATATGTATTTTTATATTTATTAGTGTAAACTATATCCAACGGTGGGCCTACAAACGCCTGGTGAGGAGATCGATGCCAATTTTGGCCAGGAGCCATTCAAATTTGATCAAATCGAAGATATGATGAAGCAAATGCGTGCTCAAATGAGGACCGCCATCTATGATTTCCCCATGACACTCGATCAGGGTGATCCAACGACACTGCTACACAAGTGAGTTGCGCAACAAAACGTGTAAATAATTCAAAAGTAAACTTTTACTCATTACTGTTTATATTTTCAGAATGGTATCATCATATCTCTTGCACAATGGTTATAGTCAAACTGCAGAGGCATTCGCTCGCACCACTGGTCAAACATTTCAAGAGGATATTTCATCGATTCGAAATCGTCAAAGTATGTTTGCAGCAAGCCCTAAATAACTGTTACTTATTGCAATTAATTTATTTTTCCAATTAACATTATAGAAATATTAAAACTTGTATTATCCGGCAAAATGGGTCACGCCATTGAGCATACGCTGCGCTCTTATCCGGGTTTATTAGAGAATAACAAAAGTCTTTGGTTCATGCTGAAGTGCAGACAGTTCATAGAAATGGTGAATGGCTCAGATATTGAGGTAAAGCGCAGATATCGATAAACAAATCTTAGCTTAGTGTCACTTAACCTAAAAACCAATAGAAGAGAAGAAAGTCTTTACTAATACATGTGCATGTAATCATTTATGTTTTGTATTTTTTTTTTTTTTTTTTTTTGTTTTTTGCTTTTCTGTGTCCTTATTTTTTATTTTGTGTGTCTGTTGATTCAGTATTGCCCTACTACTAATAATAAATTAACAAATTCGATCACAACACAAACGCAGACAACGCCACCGAATCAAACATCGGTCATACAGTCAACCAAATCATATCAGAATGGTAAGAGCACAGTAGCACATAATAATGCACAGACTATGGTGACAACATCAACTACAACAACAAATTCAGCTGTGATAAATGCCGATAATCATGCGCATCAACAGGAACTGAAAAACACATCGTGAGTCCAAACCATTTAATTTTTTACTTAAAAATGTTTAATTGTGTTTAATCTGCTTTCAACCAACAGTGTTTCGGATGAGAACTGCTCTGGTGATGCGATTTCAATTAATAATAAAAACAATAGCACCAATATCGATTATTTGAA